AATAAAAAAATAAAAAAATTCTCTAGACTGGCCCTAATACTGATTTGTATTATTGGATTCCTATGACATTTTTTTCTTTTTTTTTTTTACTATTTGGACCTGAATTCCTTTCCTTAAAGGAAATAAGGCATATGTTCGTGCTAACATGAGGATGTATCACGTTTTAGGCACAAAACTTTAGTTTGAATTTAGCAAATAATATGCCTTTACAGTGATAAACGATTAAATGGCTGACAGAAAGAAAAATGGACTAATGAATTTTGATACATTTATGTCGTGTCTCCATTTTTCTTTTTGTAGGACTTTTACTTTGAAAAGCTGACAGCCGGAGTGGTGTGAGCTTCCGCTGTGTGTTTGACATTAGGTCCGGGTTTTACCTCAGCTTTCTTTATTCCTCCCGTTTCTTTCCCTCTTTAATGCGCCCCGCCAGCCGCATGTGTCTATTTATTTATTTATGCTTTCTGTCTGACAGTATTTAGTTGTTTTAAGTTTTAGTCGTTCCTCCAATGAGAAGGCGTAAAAGATGGAGCTTCACATTTTAGAGCACAGCTTGAAAGTGGCGAGTATAGAGAAGGAGGGGATCGAGGTTTGCACCCACGGATTAATTAAACTCGCCTTCCTGGCCTCCAAAACCAGGTAGGTCACTTCAGAGCCCAGTCCGGCTTTAAATCTGTTTTCTGTGTTTCTGCTGGTGCTGCTGTTGGCTAGCCGGCCGGCTGCTAGTTAACGGCTGTTTATTAAAGCTCCCGGAGTTCAGAGCCTAACATGCCAGGTCTAGGGGCTGTTCTCCGGGCAGCTCGCTGCCCACCGCTCCTCGGCCTGTCCGGCTGTTTGGAGGCTCAGCCTGGAGCTTTGTGGATCCACGCCGGTGCTGGTGTTTATGTTCCGGCTTCCTTTCTTTATTCCAGGATCATTCTTGTCTAATCTGACAAAGTTCTCCAAGCAAATCGGAGGATTTTAAAGGAGGAAAGTTAGAATAAAAACAGCTGAGGTCGTCATGGCCGTGAATAGGAGAATGTGGGCCCCTGGGCTAGGAGGATGTGGGCCCCTGGGCTAGAGCCTGCTTTGCTTCCCTGCCCACACAAGCTGTTTTCAGGCATGCAAATAATGTTATGTCACCTTTCATGCATTCAAATAAAGCTCTGAGTTCCTTACATAAAATCCCCTTAGATCCTTTAAATAGAAAAATAAAGAATTATTACAATAATTTGTGAATTTCTAGCTGTTAGAAAGAATACGGCAGAGTATTAGGGTCAGGATAGAGATTTTTTTTATTTCCAGAATAAAGTCGTAATATTATAAGAATGAAGTCAAAATTATGAGAATAAAGTTGTAACATCTTGACAATAAAGTCGTAAAATTATGAGAACAAAGTCGTAACATCTTAAGAATAAAGTCGTAAAATTACGATAATAAAGTCACAACATTTTGAGAAAAAAGTAAAATTCCGAGAATAAAGTCAAAACATTTGGAGAATAAAGTCATAAAATTATGAGAATAAAGTTGTAACATCTTGAGAATAAAGTCGTAAAATTATGAGAATAAAGTCGTAAAATCTTGAGAATAAAGTCGTAAAATTATGAGAATAAAGTCACAACATTTTGAGAAAAAAGTAAAATTACGAGAATAAAGTCACAACATTTTGAGAATAAAGTCATAAAATTACGTGAATAAATTTGTAACATCTTGAGAGTAAAGTCGTAAAATTACAAGAATAAAGTCATAACATTTTGAGAATAAAGTAAAACTATGAGAATAAAGTCAAAACATTTGGAGAATAAAGTCATAAAATTACGTGAATAAAGTCGTAAAATTATGAGAATAAAGTCGTAACATCTTGAGAATAAAGTCGTAAAATTACGAGAATAAAGTCACAACATTTTGAGAATAAAGTCGTAAAATTACGAGAATGAAGGCGGAACATTTTGAGAATAAAGTCATACAATTACAAGAATGAAGTCATAAAATTACGAGAAAGAAGTCGTAAAATTACGAGGACAAAGTCGTAACATTTTGAGAATAAAGTCGTAAAATTCCGAGAACAAAGTTGCAACATTTTGAGAATAAAGTCGTAAAATTCCGAGAA